GTTCAAGTGCTGTGACTTTCGTCTGTATTGAAGTATTCGGTAGGGTGGCAATGCTTTTAATAGAGGAGAAACGAACAGGGTTAATCGATTGTTTAACTTTTCCCAAAATATAGATTTGCGAATGTCGATTGTTTCATGTCTGTAATGTGTCATTGTTTCTAGATATTTTTGACGTAAACTTACAAATTGTCCTCCGTTAATTTGTCAGATGTCGATGACGAAGTGTATTGTAATCATTTGCGAATTGCTGAATGCCCGTTTTACTATTTTTTTACACGTAGGGCATATTATTTGAAAGACTTCTGTCGCATCTATCTTGTGTAGTAGATTTATATGGAAACATACCTAAAAATATAATCTTATTTAGGAACTGTAAAATTACATTATGATGTTCATAATGTTATTTACTAACAATATTAATAATGCTCACATCGCTTCATTAATCGTATCTTTTTGCACAGTACATTAAGGCCTCGTTCATGTGCTGTGACTTTTGTCTGTATTGAAGTTTTCGGTAAAGCAGCAATACTTTTAATAGGCGAGAAACGAACAGGTTTAATCGATTGTTTAACTTTTCTAAAATATAGATTTGCGATTGTTGATTGTTTTCAGTCTGTAATGTTCCATTGTTTCTAGAGAATTCTCTATCAACATACAGTACTTTTCTTTATGAATTTGTTTGATGTCGATGACGTAATGTATTTTAATCATCTGCTTATTGCGGAATGCCCGTTTTACTATATTTTTACACGTAAGGCATATTATTTGAAAGACTTCTGTCACATCTATATTGTGTTGTAAACTTATACTGAAACAAACCTAACAATATAATCTTTTTTAGGAATTGTTAAATTACCCAACGTTTTTCGTGATGTTTTATACTAACAATATTATTAAAGCTCATATCGCTTCTTCAATTGCATTTTTTTGCACAGTACATTATGGCCTAGTTCAAGTGCTGTGACTTTCGTCTGTATTGAAGTATGCGGTAGGGCGGCAATGCTTTTAATAGATGAGAGACGGTCAGGTTTAATCGATTGTTTAACTTTTCTCAAAATATAGATTTGCGAATGTCGATTGTTTCAAGTCTGTAATGTGTCATTGTTTCTAGATATTTTCGACGTAAACATACAAATTGTTTTCCATTAATTTGTCAGATGTCGATGACGTAATGTATTTTAATCATCTGCTAATTGCTGAAGGCCCGTTTTACTACATTTTACAAGTAGGGCATATTATTTGAAAGACTTCTGTCACATCTAACTTGTGTAGTAGATTTATATTGAAACATACCTAAAAATATAATCTTATTTAGGAATTGTAAAATTACATTATGANATGAGAGACTTCTAACTTTTCTCAAAATATAGATTTGCGAATGTCGATTGTTTCAAGTCTGTAATGTGTCATTGTTTCTAGATATTTTCGACGTAAACATACAAATTGTCTTCCATTAATTTGTCAGATGTCGATGACGTAATGTATTGTAATCATCTGCGAATTGTTGAATGAACGTTTTACTATATTTTACAAGTAGGGCATGTTATTTAAATGACTTCTGTCACATCTATCTTGTGTAGTAGATTTATATTGAAACATACCTATAAATATAATATTATTTAGGAATTGTAAAATTACATTATGATGTTCATGATGTTATTTATTAACAATTTTATTAAAGCTCATATCGCTTCTTTAATCGCATTTTTTTGCACAGTACATTATGGAATATTTCAGGTGCTGTGACATTCGTCTGTATTAAAGTATGCGGTAGGGCGGCAATGCTTTTGATAGATGAGAGACTTCTAACTTTTCTCAAAATATAGATTTGCGAATGTCGATTGTTTCAAGTCTGTAATGTGTCATTGTTTCTAGATATTTTCGACGTAAACTTACAAGCTGTCTTCCGTTAATTTGTCAGATGTCGATGACGTTATTGTTATTTATTGTAATCATCTGCAAATTGCTGAATGAACGTTTTACTATATTTTACAAGTAGGGCATGTTATTTAAATGACTTCTGTCACATCTATCTTGTGTAGTAGATTTATATTGAAACATACCTAACAATAAAATCTTATTTAGGAATTGTAAAATTACATTATGATGTTCGTGATGTTATTTATTAACAATCTTATTCATGCTCACATCGCTTCATTTATCGTATTTTTTTGCACAGTACATTAAGGCCTCGTTCAAGTGCTGTGACTTTCGTCTGTATTAGAGTATGCGGTAGGGCGGCAATGCTTGTAATAGACGAGAAACGAACAGGGTTAATCGATTGTTTAACTTTTCTCAAATTATAGATTTGCGAATTTCAATTGTTTCCAGTCTGTAATGTTTCATGGTTTCTAGAGAATTCTCTATCAACATACAGTACTGCTTTCTATGAATTTGTCAGATGTCGATGACGTAATGTATTGTAATCATCTGCGAATTGTTGAATGAACGTTTTACTATATTTTACAAGTAGGGCATGTTATTTAAATGACTTCTGTCACATCTATCTTGTGTAGTAGATTTATATTGAAACATACCTAAAAATATAATCTTATTTAGGAATTGTAAAATTACATTATGATGTTCATGATGTTATTTATTAACAATTTTATTAAAGCTCATATCGCTTCTTTAATCGCATTTTTTTGCACAGTACATTATGGCCTAGTTCAAGTGCTGTGACTTTCGTCTGTATTAGAGTATGCGGTAGGGCGGCAATGCTTGTAATAGACGAGAAACGAACAGGGTTAATCGATTGTTTAACTTTTCTCAAATTATAGATTTGCGAATGTCGATTGTTTCCAGTCTGTAATGTTTTAATGTTTCTAGGTAATTTGTTTTTCAATTTGCAATACTGTTGTCTATAAATTTGTCAGATGTCGATGACGTAATGTATTTTAATCATCTGCTAATTGCTGAAGGCCCGTTTTACTACATTTTACAAGTAGGGCATATTATTTGAAAGACTTCTGTCACATCTAACTTGTGTAGTAGATTTATATTGAAACATACCTAAAAATATAATCTTATTTAGGAATTGTAAAATTACATTATGATGTTCATAATGTTATTTACTAACAATATTATTAATGCTCACATCGCTTCATTAATCGTATTTTTTTGCACAGTACATTAAGGCCTCGTTCATGTGCTGTGACTTTTGTCTGTATTGAAGTATTCGGTTTGGTGGCAATGCTTTTAATAGACGAGAAACGAACAGGTTTAATCGATTGTTTAATTTTTCTCAAATATAGATTTGCGAATGTCGATTGTTTCAAGTCGGTAATGTGTCATTGTTTCTAGATATTTTCGACGTAAACTTACAAGCTGTCTTCCGTTAATTTGTCAGATGTCGATGACGTAATGTATTTTAATCATCTGCTAATTGCTGAAGGCCCGTTTTACTACATTTTACAAGTAGGGCATATTATTTGAAAGACTTCTGTCACATCTATATTGTGTTGNTCTCAAAATATAGATTTGCGAATGTCGATTGTTTCAAGTCTGTAATCTGTCATTGTTTCTAGATATTTTCTACGTAAACTTACAAATTGTCTTCCATTAATTTGTCAGATGTCGATGACGTAATGTATTGTAATCATCTGCGAGTTGTTGAATGAACGTTTTACTATATTTTACAAGTAGGGCATATTATTTGAAAGACTTCTGTCACATCTAACTTGTGTAGTAGATTTATATTGAAACATACCTAACAATATAATCTTTTTTAGGAATTGTTAAATTACCTAACAATGTTCGTGATGTTATTTACTATTAATTTTATTAAAGTTCATATCGCTTCATTAATCGTAGTTTTTTGCACAGTACTTTGAGGCCTTGTTCAAGTGCTGTGACTTTCGTCTGGATTGAAGTATGCGGTAGGGCGGCAATGCTTTTAATAGATGAGAGACGGTCAGGTTTAATCGATTGTTTAACTTTTCTCAAAATATAGATTTGCGAATGTCGATTGTTTCAAGTCTGTAATGTGTCATTGTTTCTAGATATTTTCGACGTAAACATACAAATTGTCTTCCATTAATTTGTCAGATGTCGATGACGTAATGTATTTTAATCATCTGCTTATTGCGGAATGCCCGTTTTACTATATTTTTACACGTAAGGCATATTATTTGAAAGACTTCTGTCACATCTATATTGTGTTGTAAACTTATACTGAAACAAACCTAACAATATAATCTTTTTTAGGAATTGTAAAATTACATTATGATGTTCATGATGTTATTTATTAACAATTTTATTAAAGCTCATATCGCTTCTTTAATCGCATTTTTTTGCACAGTACATTATGGAATATTTCAGGTGCTGTGACATTCGTCTGTATTAAAGTATGCGGTAGGGCGGCAATGCTTTTGATAGATGAGAGACTTCTAACTTTTCTCAAAATATAGATTTGCGAATGTCGATTGT